ATATTTCCCAGATTGCGGCTACCCCCTATATTTTGAAGGTTAAAAATCCAAATATGTAAGAAAAAATATATGTTTATTCAGAGAAAGTACGTTTTTGTGTCTGATTTCGTAACTTAATTAATAGTTAGCACTAATTAATTAGCATATTTGAGGTCACCCCCAGGAACCATTAAGATTAACACTTAGTTCGTGAAAATCCGATCATTAGAACGAAAGTTATTCAGGGTGATATCTTTTTTTTTTTGCCGACTGTACTTCCTTAATTAACAATGCACTTTTGATTTCAAATTGTGTTCGATTTTCTGAAACTTTTTTTATTCTATTTTTCTTAAGACTAAAGACAAGATTATTGAGCCCTCTTTATTACCACTCTAAAAAATAATTAGCTCTCCTAAGTTCTTAACCAATCATGAAAAAGAATCACTACTGATTGCTTTTCACAGGCTATACTAGATTGGGGTGATTATTTTTTGTGTAACAAAAGAACAAACAAGAAAAAGAATAGAAATTAGTTAAGTCTGCTCATCAATTATGTTTTTAACATTTTGCAAACTTTTTGTTTTTTTTTTTGTACTGATTTTTGTTTTTTTCATTGAAATGACGCTATACAAGCTTAAAAATCACCATCGAATGACTCTATAACATATTGTGATGATAATGTTAAATTGAGGCGTAACTACCACTATAAATATTGAATACCAATTCACTAGTATATAAGACATGTTAACTTGATTCGATCTTGAGGTACCTTTTGATAGATGAAGGTTGACATGGTCAATTTAAACATTGTCTCATAATGTTGACCGCGGATGAGATATGAGCTTGCCAATATCGATGGTTGGTCCACCATTAAACAGTTGATTTGCCTAAAAATATAGCGCTAAAAAAAAAAAGAAAAAAAAACTAATAATAATAACTGGTAAAATGTCTCTCAGCCAATAAAAAGAAATATAAATGAACACAGAAATGAAGAAAAAATAAAATTAGCAAAAATGATATAAATTTAAAAATAAAAAAAAACGGCGTAAATCAACTAGTGGTATTTGTTCATCGAATACTATCACAGATTCTGGAAGGGGAGTAATGTGGCGTAACTACCACTATAAATATTAAATACTAATTCACTAGTATATAACGCATGTTAACTAGATTCAATCCCCTCAAACAAAAGGATAATATCTTATGTCTGGCAATCATTTTTGTTTGTTTTGAATAGTTAGTAAACTTTTTGAATTTCATTTTTTGTATTGTTTCTATATTTTTGTTTTTATTTCTACTCCAGGTGCCAGTTCAGATAGTATTGACCTCCTGCCCAGTCCAGGCATTGGTGCCGAATGGACAAGAAGCCTTCCTACTGATGACGGGCATGAAAGTGATCAGATCTATGAGTTTGACGGAACTTCCAATGCTGTGGTCATCCCCGAAAGCACCTTGAGTCACAATCTGACGGACAATTTCACAGTTGCATTCTGGATGAAGCATGAACCTTACCCAGACCATAATGACACTCATATGAAAGAACATATCATTTGCAATGCTGATGACCACAGTTAGTTCTTTTTTCACAATTAATGCTAACTCTATTTATTTTATTATTTCTCATGCCAGATTACAAAAACAAGTAAATATTCCTAAAAAAGGTAGTCATCTAAGTAGTTTGACAGTTTTGTGCCCAACTTATTGATAAGTATCTTGTTTTTTAGTAATTTGTTCTATTATATACACCGAAGAGCCATTACATTATGACCACCCTGCTAATAACACGTAGGACCACCTTTAGCCCTCAAAACTGCTAGCATCCGCCCTAGTATTGATAGGTAAAAGGTAGTCTGTGGTGCTGGTAGGTGGCCTGTGTAGGCTGATAGGTAGTCTGAGGTATCTGGTACCAAGCGCTCACCAACTGGTCCTGCAATTCCCTCACATTGCGAGGGGGTAGCGTGGCAGCACGAATTTGGCTTTCCAAGTAGGACCACAAATGCTCTATTGGATTAAGGTCAGGTGAATTTGGGGTCAAGACATGACTTGAAAGTCACTGGAATGTTCCTCAACGATTCGACCCTTATGACATGGTGCATTATCCTGTTGGTAAACACCGTCCCCCGCAGGAAAAAATGTTGCAATGAATGGGTGAACCTGGTCTGCAACTATGTTCAAGTAGCTTACAGGCGTCGGGGATTGTTCTATGAGGAATATGGGTCCTAATGTGCGCCATGAAAACATTGTTCCTGGGCGAGAAACCATGAAAACCTGGGTGAGCCCATTGTCATAAATGGAGGGTGGTCATAATGTAATGGCTCTTCAGTCTATATATATATAATTATCTCTCTCTGTATATATATATATATATATATATATATAGAGAGAGAGAGAGATGGTGCATAGCATTTTTAAAAACCCTTAAAGGGCTTTTTTTGTTGGGTATTTTTTTAAAGTGCTTAATTTTCCCTTTTCGAAAATGAGATTTTTTTTTCTTTACTTTGTTTGATTTTTGCCACGTATTGTGTAAAAGTGTGCTTTTTACACTGTGTCCTATACAATGTTTTCACAATTCATTCAAGCACAGTCCATTTCGACGTACTCCATAGCTTATGAAATAGCCAATACTTTTACATGTTTGACGAAATACTTGCGAGTCTGTATGTGCATGTATACTGAGCTGGATTAGGTGAGATTATTGCACTCTCATGTGCAACTCTGCTGCATTTTGCAAGACATTCTCAATTTCAGACTTCATTTTCCACCCTCTGATATCAAACTGAAAAATCTCTTAATCATTTTATAATGGCTAATATAATCGAGAAAAGAGTTCTTTGTCAGAAACAAGTTCTTTTATCATGATCATGTAAAGTCTTTGTAAATTATTTTGCTTTTCCTTAATGTATATAGTTCTTAAAAATATTTTATGAGTGCTTAAAAAGTACTTAAAAGGTGCTTATTTTTTGTTGTCTGGATAAAGTTGCTATTATTTACATGAATTTTTCTGTTGGATTCTAAAATTATACGTGGAAATTATCTTTCAGAAATGAATCGCCATCATTACTCAATATTTGTAAGGAATTGTCGCCTAATATTGCTGCTGCGAAGGGAGTTTTACCAAGAAAGACCCAGTGTATTTAGACCTGCAGAATGGCGATGGAAAATGCCCGAAGTCTGTGATAACCAATGGCATCATTATGCTGTCAGTGTGAACTTTCCGGAGGTAAAAAGCTATAATTGTACTATAAATATTAAAATGTTTGTGTAATAATTTTTTGTTGTTGATGGATTTACCACTTTGAATCATGAAAAAATAATTATCAAAGAATTTTGGGTACTTATTGGTTATAAGGATAAGAAGGTGTGTTAGCTACAGCTTTTCTAAATTATCGCCAAAACAAATATTGTTCCCGATAGCTGATAAGTAAAAATTTGAATATTGAGATGTATTGTAAAAAGTGGCTGGGGAGCGCAGTTGTTTTGATGTCGGCCTTCTGAACCCGAGTCTGCGGGTTCGATCCCCAGCCCAGGCACCAGATTTTTCGGGATGCAGAGAATCCTCAGCGGCCATGTCGTATGATTATGCGGCATGTAAAAGATCCCTGGAGTGCCTTATTGGCTCTTGACATTTCCGGCAAAATTAAATTCCTAGTGCACTTTAGCATCCAAATAGAGTCTCAGTGCTGCCATCTAGTGTGGCAGAAACTAGACGTCCAAATTAACCAACGGTATCTCATCCATTGTGGTGGTACTGAAAGAGTTGATACTTCTGGAGAACGCACTAGGTCTGCTCATCGGGAAGACTGATTGTGCAGCTCATAGGAAATTAAAAATGTATTGTAAAAATATATTGATACTTAATTATAAATTGTGATATTTTTCCAACTATTTGCATTGAACTAATTGCATTGTTTTTACAATGGTTAATATTTTCACTATCCAAATAAAATTTATCAACACAGGATAATATTGCATTTCATAATTATCATTATGTGAAATATTGATAATCATTAAATATGATACTATTGTAGATTGTATATTTAAAGTTTTTTTTTATAAAAAAAATATCATGCAAGCATATGTGTTGAATAATGGCTAAAATTTATGATTTAAATTAATATCCATGGATGGCGCTGTGCCAATGATTTATTCTTTCTCATATTTTTGTTCTCTCTTGTCCTGTCAGTATGAAATAAATGTTATTTTGTTTTCTTCATCATTTTATGATGGAATCCAAGTATATTTAGGGAGCAATTTAATAATGTATAAATATACAATTATTTCATTACTTATGGTTCAATTAATTGTAAATATGCCATTTTATATGTCGGATAAAACTGTCCCGCAGTGTACTGATCATTAAGACACAGTTCCCAGCAGATCACCAAAGTCAAGCATCACTGGCTACGGTCAGTGTGCGGGTGGGTTACCACTTGGATCAGTCTGCGTAGGGACTGAGGGTGTGCGGTATTGGTCCTCGTTAAACTGTTCTACCATATTGTGCTCGACTTTGCATGCAGGTCGTTGGGCTACCGAAGCGGGGGTGCCATCCCCTCTGTAGAGGATCAAAATTGTGATGGCATGTCTTCAGATCATCCTCAGGGGTGTTTCCCAGACCGTCGCCAATAGCCCATCGTGCAGCTCTAGTGTGACGTAAATTAACTACAGCAACAATGTCAGATAAAACTAAAAAGTTTTGCTCTCCAAATGTGCGTTGTTGGACGGAGTACGTGAAAGTGCCATGCTGCTTATCTTGTGGCATTATCTGATAATAGTTAATTTCTAGTTATCCAGAAAATCATGTGAGAATTTTTCATCTTTATCAACTTTTATTATTACAGTCTACCCTCTATGTGGATGGACAACAATTCAAAATACAAACCAACAACCCAGACATTGTTGATGATTGGCCTCTTCATCCTGCTAAAGATATCAACACCACATTTGTTGTTGGAGCATGCTGGCAAGGTAAAGAATTCACAATAATGCCAATAAATTGAATTTATTTTCTGTTATCGCAAGTATCCTGCTACTTAAGAACTAGGAGTAGGTCAGAAAATTGTTATCGTCAGATAGTTCTGAGACTTTCTCAATTAACATTAAACTATGAGTTAACATTACATGAACATTAAACTATGAGTAATATTTAACTGAATAAGTAATGGCTATTTTGAAAGTTTTTTTTTTTAAAGTAAAGAAACTTTTTTTTATTTATCATTAAGCATGATTCACTATCATAAAAAACACTGGTACATTTTTTTAATTGCAGTTTTTTTGCGGTCATATTTCTTATTAATCGTAACAATAGTAATTTGACAACATCAATTGTAATAATGGTTAAATGTGTTAAAAGCTTGTCGTTAGATTTGTCACTTGATTGATCAAATGTCAGATAATCGGGATTTTACTGTACTTGTATTTTTTCAGCTTGTTCTTTCGTTATATATGCAGACTCTGCATTTACATCATATTATTTTAACCAATATATGACTAAACAAAATGTTATAGTTTAAAACTGAAAATTTAAAATACTTTTTTGAATACATTGTTATTTCAGCTTTAAACTGTTTTGGGCTTAGTTTTATTTTCTCTGTGTTTGTTTTTCTAGGTTTCTAAACATAATAGGTTTTTAAATTCTATGTGGTATAGTTTGCAAATGCTGTATCATAGAAATTGTTTATTTTAAATAGTTTATTTATAAAAATATTTTTGTTAAGAGAAATAATTCTTATTTCTTTAAAAAGTCTGGATGAGTTCATGCACAAAATAATTATATTTAATGAGGTACTTATTTGAACAATATATAGTAAGGAAGAACAAAATTGCTAGACGAATAAAAAAAATTGCTAGACGAATTTTTGTTTTAAAACAAACGTTATAATTTACAATTCGTAGAAAATAAGATTCTGAAAAGCCTGAGCCCCCAAGAGTCTTCATATATTAGGATGTTATTTTCTGACTAATTTCTTCAATAACTATATCTACAAATATATGTATATTTAATGCTATTTCATTTAAAAATTGTTGAGCAATATTTATGTTACTATAAATCCCAAATGTAATAGCTGGTTTTGTCAATGTCTGGAAAAAAAAGAGAGACTGTTTTGTAGTTAAAATTTAACTGTTGTCTTTAATTATTATGATTCTTGTTCATACAACAAAAATATTTTTTTCCCTTAATTTTTTACTCAAAATCAAAGAATTGAGCTTGAAAAATTAAGTTATTAAATAACTTTGCAAAATACCTATATGCATTTTATAACATTGTAAGAGATATTAATTCATTTATAAGTCATTAATAATTTCTGCTACCCTTAAAATATATATTTATTTCACGTTTTCATACTTCAATTTTTAATTCTTGGGTTTGATTCTTTGATATTGTTATGATTGTATTGATTTAAGGGTAAAAAAAACGGTGGGAAAACAACTATTTTATTCTTTTTTAATCAGTGTTTNCAGTGATCAAAAAAAAAATGTTGCACTTTATATATAATAAATGATATTTTTATTTATATTGCCGGCCAGGTGGCCGAGCGGTCAGCTTGCCTGACGGTGAAGCAAGTGGCTGCGGGTTCGAATCCCGCTCAGGGCATGGATGTTTCTCTCTGTGTGTTGTTCTTTGTTGTGTGAATGTAGTCCACCCTATGAACAGGCAGGGCTGATTGTGCTCCGGAAAAAATCCGGACTTCCGGATTTTTCGCTAACAGTGATCCGGAAGTTTTCGGAGATCGAAGGTCCAGACGTTTAAAAAAAATCATTGATCGCAGAAGTTTCCGAAAATCACATTTTCAAAGGTGGAACTTAAAAACACAGTTTATTTTATTTGTTTGTAAGGGAGAGTCAGATACTTTACAAGCTTATATTCATGATTAATAATAATTTTTTTTCCATCAGTAAATAGTTTTTATGATCGTTAACTCAAAGAAAGACATATTTGTAAATTTTAATTACTTCCACGTCATCATAGGAATGTGTAAAATTTTAAATATATTTTAAGTAAACCAAGAAATATTGAGAAAAAGGAAAAAAAACCTTGCTTAAATTTATTTCTAATTTTTCAATTTAAGCTGTTTTTTTTTGTTTTTAACTCAGGAAATTTTCCGGAATTTTGACTTGGGCTCACAATCACCCCTGAACAGGTGTCCACTAGGTAACATTAAATGAGCAACACTTCCGGCATCTTCCGAGGTAAAGAACGAGAGTTCAGTGCCTGCCGTTTAAAAAAAAAAGTTTTTGTTTATAAACTACGAAAGTTTAAATATGTCTGCATTTAAATTTATATTTGCATACAATATTTTGTTTTTCAGTTTTTGAAAAAAGTTACAAAAAGGCATATAAATTTACTTATTATGCCACCGCTTTAAAATAGCTTATGATCTAAATTTTGTTGTGATCCATCATTGATTATATGAACTAATTGATTATATGAACTAATTGGCATCATGAATGTTATTGGCATGAGATAATTATTAATCTCAGTAGTCAGTCCATGATATTTCAGATAAAAAATAAAAAAAACCACGAATCATCATTGAATTAAGTTTAACTTTACTAAAATCAAATTTAAAAAATTTTATGAAAATTTATCATTTTGCCGTTATGAAGGAAATTACATATTCAATTAGATATACAATACTTGAATAAATAGTTTAAATCGCATTTATCTGTCCCTAATGTGAAGTGATCCTATGAAATTTTCATTTATCTACTTGCCATTTTAAATTTTATCAAAATTTTACTTTTTTACATCAGTTGATTACTTAAATACAATTCTTACCGTATATTCCGGCGTATAACGCGCACTTTTAATACAAAAAATAACATTGGAATTTACGGGTGCTCGGTATACCCCGAATATAAAAAATTATAGATTAAAAAAATTTAAATTTAGAAAAATATTTTTATTTTAAAGAAATAACATACCTTTACCTATATACTTTATTGATTTTCGTTATTACATAAATAGTTCATTATATTCGTCTTCCGTTATTTCTTCAGGCACGTCATCACAATCTGTTTCGTCTTCATCATCTGTGTTACCCTCATCCATGAATAAACAGTCATCTTCTGATCCGTCCAGATTATTTGAAATGCTGCATTTTTTAATGATTTTCTAACCATCTCAGGCTTAATTTCATCCCATGCTTTTAATATCCATTCGCACACTGTTTCCAAACTTGCATGATGCATATATCCTCCTTTCTTAAAGGTTTTCTCGCCCTCCAACAACCAAGTGTTCCACTGTTTTTTTTAAATTGGCTTTAAAAGCAGAATTCCAATGGCTGAACTAATGGTGTCAATCCGCCCATAATAACTGCCACATCGGTGTTACATTCTTTCAACAATTTTTTTTGCATTATCTGTAAGGTGGGATCTAAACATGTCCCACACTGAAAGGCTTTCTGGTTTTCTATAGATACTAGACGAGATATTGCACATGTACAATCCAAATTTTCATGTGAGTTATACGAAGAGTATATCTTAAAATTTAAAAAAAGTTATTAGAAATTACGGGTGCGCGTTATACGCCGTGGCACATTATGCGCCGGAATATACGGTATATACAAACTCAAAAATTTATTATGTGAATAATTCCTAAAAAAAGTTAATTTAAGCTGCAAAAAATTAGATTTAAATTAAATTCTTTCCTACTTTTGCTTATTTTACTAAGTCTTACTATACTTTAACCTACTATAAGTTTTACTAGTCCTACAATAATTTTAAAAGAAATAACCTTTTATCCTAATTATTAAGTTATATTTTTCAGGACTTTTGTCATTAAAAAATCTATTTTAAAATTATTATTATTGTTATTTTTTTTTGCTTAATTCCTAGGATGTTCATAGGTTAATAACAAATAAAAACTAAAATGTTCCCACAACAGGTCGTGGTGTTTAAATCTCCACAATTTCATAATAAATGGCTCGACAGCGCTGCACGCCAACTTTCTTTACTTATAAAACAAGGAACGATGCCACATTAGTTTGAACTGGGGATAGAACTAACCGCGACTTTAAGCAAATAATCAATTACAATTCGAAAATCATTGTATACTTTAATACTTTGCTCATCCTTCTCAATCCATCATTAGAGGAATTTTTTTTTTTTTTTTTTTCAAGTTTTTTTTCAAGGGTTATTCTGGGTTTGAGAATTTCTATTAGCACCGGTAATCATGGGACATTTTGTCTAATCTTATTTATTTTTCTACATTGCATTAAAAAATTTTTATATGTAATATTTTTATTGCAGGAGCTTTTGACTAATTCAGATCTTAGTGAAGTAACAGTCGAAGGAAACAGCAAGAACAACCTAGAAGATTTAATATCTCGAGTAGGATATGTAAATTCAAGAGAATTTCCTACCCCTGGACGTCGTAGTGTTCAAATTAGTACCACTGTCACGTGAGTATATCCTGTGTATTTGTTTTTTTAAATCTTAAATTTTATTTCTTATAATTCTATTTACAGTGATCAAAAAAAAAATGTTGCACTTAGTTTTTGATGCATATATACTTAGGGTAGCCATAAAACAGGGAAAAATTTTAAAATTTTTTATCAATTTAGAAAATTCGGGAAAAGGGCTTAATTTAGGAAGGTCTCTGCCACTTCAATATATATTTTTTTTTTTCAAAAAAAAAGTACTAATTCTGCAAGATATCATCTGATGCTCAGGGCAAAATTTAAAAAAAAACAGCATTTTTTTTCAGAAATATTTCTGTTTAATATTTTGAAACTTCAATATTTTCCACTGTTTCAATATTTTTTTCCAAAAAAAAAAAAAAAAAAACACAAATTCTGCAAATTATTATTTGATGCTCAATGCAAAATTTAAAAAGAAAAAAAAAGCAGTATTTTTTTCATAAATATTTCTGTTAACTGACGCAAAAAATGTTTTTCTTAATTGGTTACCCGAAGACAAAACGCAAAATTTAATGAACAAAGTTATGCTATCAGACTCAGAAAATTTTAATTACCACATATTGGTGAATAAGCCAACCTCCTATTTTTGATTCCGAGAACGCAAATTTCTTTTAAGTTTATTTATACGAACTGACTTCTGTAAAAAAATTCATATAAAAATTTCTATAATTAAAAAATATGAACAAAATTATTAAACATACAAAATTTTCTCAAATTAAAAATATTATAATTCTCTGGATATAATACATTTACCTTCAAATAAAGTTGCATTAACAAATGCTCACAGGTGACTAGTTAATCAAGAGAAAAAAATCTTACAAAAGAAGGAAATATACACTCTACTCCTGTAGAAGTCATGTGTCAAACATTATTATGTGGCAAAATTTAGATTCAAATATTATTGTAAAGTTTTTAAAAAAGTGTGGAATTTAAAATTCTTTGGACTTTTTTGTGGGACTCAGCAGGTGAGGTTTAAGTAGAATGCATTGCAAGGTAGAGTCCATAAGGTTATGCTGCTTTATTCAACCTCACTTAAGTGACGTTCCAGAATCTTAAACTTTGTAGCTTTATGGTATGGTTAAAAAGTTTTCATTGTGTTATACTTTTTGAAATACCTTTTAATAAATTATTTTAACTTTTCTTCTTAACATAATGTAAAGCATTGCTTTTAAGAATACCTTTGTATAAAAAGAAAATGTGGTGAGAGAAAATGCAAAACGGATCATGTATAACATATTAAAAATAGTTTTTGAAAGGGGTAAATTGATACTGAGTTATTTATATCTAATAGTTTATAAATACACCGACACATTTTCTGATCAATGAATGTCTGACTTTATTAACTGTGTATTAGTTGACCCTCTGATTTTCGTAACATTTCAGAGTTGGAAAAATAGACGTATATATCAGGATATACAATAAGTAGAAAATTCAAGTCAAAAATAAATATATATATTTTTTAAAGTTTTGATCCAATTCTTATTTGACGTGTTGCCAAAGATTTAAAAGTCCCATTTAGGACTAGCTTATTAAGCACAAATGACAGTTGACATTATGAAGAAGATTCAAAAATATACTTTATCAGAATTAGTATTTTTTTCATATGACAGATTTGAATACATGATTCTAAAAGTATGGATGTGTTACATAATCTAGACGAAATATCATAAATTTAGTTTTTCTTACTTATTTTTTCATATCTCAAAAAATAATTGTGTGAAACAAAACTGTTTTGTATTTATTTGTAAACTAGTTTACTCAAAGTTGCAAAACAGATTTTTTAATGACTTTTTGTATTAAATTTTAAAATGATTAAAAACAATTTTGAATTTTAATGTATACAAATATTCCCATCTTTTTAAAATATCTGAGAACCCAAAATAAAATTAAGTTACCTGAAACTTTTTTGCAATATAAATTAGCATTCAATCTTTTAATTTGGTGTACCTGTTTATCTAATGAAGTGCTTAAACATGGATGTCAAATTATTCTTTGCAAAATTGAAGTTTATTCTGTTCTAAAATATTATTTTTAATTATATACTATACAAGTTCGACAATAAAATTATTTCTTTACAAATAATAATTATTACAAATATTTGACTTCCAAGCTAAGAGACAAAATTTGAGTTATACTTTTAAGATCTTGGACAGTCAAACATGTATAAGCTGAAGAGTTGGTGCAACGTTATAAGTATTTATTTAAACAAATAGTGAACTTATAAAAAGATTATATGATATTTTTGCTTTATTCTGTCTGAATTATAACAATTAATTTAGATAAGTATCTGCAAAAAAATATAATGGCAGGGCGCTGGACTCACGTTTATGAGAACAGGTGTTGGAATCCAGCCGGCCAAGGGCTACCCGTGTAGTAAATGGTTACTTGTGCATGTTTCTATCAGGTCACAAAGTCCTTCATGTTCCCTTAACAAATCAATATCTCTGGGGGTACTGAATTGGAGATTAATCTTTCAGGGCAAATTTACGATCTGTGGATGAATAAATGGCTGTGTGAATGGATCCACCCTATAAACGGGTGTGACAGAAGTTGAATTCTTGGCCATAAATGGCGCCACTGGAAAACAAGAAAAATTGCTCTCCTTCTGCCTTAATGGCGGACGACGACATCTAAATAATAATGCTGACCAACTAAATTTATTTCCCTTCATCAATATTGTATTGTATTAATTTATGTTGTAAAATATTGTATGGTGCTTCACATCTTGAATATCAAATTTGTTTCACAGGTGTTCAAAGGGTAAAACCGTCAAAGTACCATCAGTGGAAGCTTATATAATGGTTTTGCAGCCAGAACTTCCCAGTATTACCATCAACGGTACTCCAAACTTAGCCAGAGAATATGAAGCATTCAAGCAGGGCATTCAGCTTTTTGCCTCTGTCTCTGTCCTCATCAGTCAAGATCAAGATGAGGAGGTGCCCATGCACAACGGCATGGATAACAGCCTCGTTTCTTTGGACCACAAGCTGGACTCTTGCACTGTTCAAGTATACCCACCCCTCAACCCTGACCATGAATATTTCAAACTTCCCATCAGCCTTATGGCTCACCTCAGTATTCATTTTAAAGAAAACAAGGACGGTCTCGTTATTTTTGGTGAGTGTGTACTATTTTTCAAATTTAATTATACCTCTTTTCATGTTGGAGCAATGTGCAAAAGGAAAAACCTAAGACCGTAAATCACTTTTGACCTAGAGATGAATAGCTCCATCATTGCGCCCAGATGGTTTTGTGAGGAAGCTCAACCGGGGCTGGCCTATAATCCAAGGAATCTAATCTTGTCACAAAATTTGATGCTGAGATAGAAAGCAAAAAATTTGCCATACTAAACCATGCATACCACTTAAGAAAGTATTTTTGTATTGACTCCCAGTCTGCAATTTTTGCTCTATTTCTTCACAATAAGTGATTCTTATCTTGAAGAGGAAACTAAAATGCTTTTTTATTGAATATTTTTGTTTGGGTAAAAGTTGTTCTTCATTGGATTCTTAACCACTGCATTTTTGAAGAAAATGAAAAAGCAGACATCTGTCTAAAAAGTATAGTGGATGCGAATTTCAGTCGTCACTTTATACTCTGTCGTGCAACTAAATCTGTAATATGATAAATTATAAATTTCAAGCTGTTATTTTATAACCATCGTTGAAAACCTGACCCAATTTTGGGTTTACGACTACTAATGCTCAACTCCGTAACCTTGTAATTTTGAACTCAATCCAGAAGACAAGGGAACTCCTGGATCAAGTATTGGAAGAAATTTGCCTTCATGGAGGATTTTTTTATGAAACTAGCCCGCATTTGCATTGCATGGAAAGGAAAACCATTAAAACCTCTCACGGTTAGCACAATGGCAATCCCCTTTTTACCGAGGATATCTTTGCGTCATCACTGTGGTCGGTACGAGCCGGAGCGGGATTCACATCAACCAGCTATCGCTAACCCGGTTCACATAATTGGAAGGTAAACGCTCTATCCTCTGTGCCATCCCGGCTCAAACTACTATCTGAAGTAAACATGCAGAAATTCAATTATACTGATTTGTAAGGATAACTTCAAATATGCTAATTAACTTATTTAGACAATATTTTAAGTTGAAAAATCTGATGCAAAACCATATTTTATCTCAGTTTAACATATCTTTTTTTATGGTTTCGGTTTCTTAATCTTCTAAGTAATCGCAATCTGGAACATACAGAGTTATTTTAAATGGTTCGTAAGGTCCAAATGATTGTTTATTACAACTAAGCAATGTGCAAAGACAGACGAGGTGATGCTACGAAGGTTCTAGATGTGAACCTTTTGTTACCCAAAATCCAGTTCTGTCCTTTCTCCCAATTGCATGTTTCTGCCTGTGTCTGTAAACTGTAGCAGTTCCAGAAGTGTTGGGGTGCTTAAACTTAGTCTGTTAAAGTGCATGGATTTATTAAGATTATGACTTGTTGAGCTTGGTATCTTTGGATGCATCTTTTAAAAATATTTTACACATGATCTCCGAATTTCGATTCAATGACTATTTAAGATATTTGATTGTTTCCACATCTTGTATACATTTTATTACAAAATGCTTTAACACCAATCTTTATAAATAAGCAACAATTTTAGTCTTGACCTGTCTATTTTATTATCAAAATAAATTAATTTTGGAATGTTTACTAATTTATATTTTTTAAATGTGCTAATAAAATAAGTTGGAGATATTTACGTTGGTAAAAATTTATTTTCATATGCTTGACAGTGTAATATTAGTGTTTTTTTTTTTAAAAAAAATTTGTGTTGTTTAATTGTAATTTTTTGTTTTGTTTAGGGGCTGACACTATTCATAATTATGACTTAGTGTTACGTCAAATAGTTTATTACAACAGAAAGCCTGCCTATTACCTTAACCGTGCCTTCAAGTTGGTTTGCTCCGAGTTGAATGGCCGCTTTGTAAGCAATGAGTATATACAAACTGTAAGTATAGTTTTTATTTTGTTATTTTTGCTAATATAATTTTTTTAATAACTTTTCTGTTTTTGTCTTATGACTTTTTATAGCCAGAATACGACTTCTTTAACAGAAGTCATTAAGAATTTATAAAAAGCCTCTTTTTTACTTTTAAAACTGATGTAATTAATTTGTTATAAAAAAAAGTTATTACATTTGTTTGCTAAAAAACTAATGTAATATGTTTTTGTGAAAAGATTGTATTTATTGACTGCAATTTCATCGTGGTTTATTTTTAAAGATCTTAATTCATTTATAATATACCTTTTGAGATTTTTTTGTTTTTGTGTTACGTATCATTAAAAAAAAATCTGAATACAGTAGTCTCGATTGTTTGAGTTTCCCATAAATCAGAGCTAGTGGGGAAAATATTCAGTCTTGTTTCTAAATAATAACAAATGCATACACACAACATGCGAAACAATTACTATGATTAATTTCAAGACTATTACTAGGACTGATTGTTGAAAAACAATTTTGTGTGTTGAACATTGAAACATGTGAATAGTGTGTTAAAAATCTTTTAGATAATTAAGGTACAATTAAACTGATGCTGTAATATAATGAATATTGTAACTTGGTGTAATGTAGTAAATGTACCCTGATCCTTTAATGTTAGTAAATATTCTTTAAATAATTATTTTTTAATTTAAATTCTGAAATTTAAAAATTGTGTTGTTTCCCTTTATTTACATATTTTTTTAAATATTAAGTTTTGAAAAGTTGGAGGTCAACTCGGTCCTGTCTACTTTGAGTTATCCGGTTTCTATTGTAATCTCTTTAATTTTATTTTAAAAACTATGTATCTAAATTAGGAAATTGTTTGCAAAATTATGCTTTTCAGTCTATTCCCTACATTGTCATTTTGTCAAACGTTTAAATTAATTATTTTTGTTTTAAATTTTAATCTTTTTAATTTTTGAATTGAATTTTTGCAAAAGGTTTATTAGTGAACCAAAAAGAATTCTAATCAAACCCTCAAATTACAGGCGTTATTGCAAATTATCTATTAATTAAATAGGAAATGAAAATGTAAAGTAAAGTAATGACATTGTTTAATTAAGTAATGAAATGTAAAGTAATTTTTCATATTTTATTTCTTCACTTGATAATAAAATTCCAATTCTGTTTAAAGGTTTATTGGTCAAACATAGGTGAATATGACTGTAACTATGAATACAAATAATAAAAATAGATAATTGGTATCATAAAGTGAATTCGTACAATAACTTATTATAATATTTTGTTTTTAAGGAAGGAACAGTGAAGGAGAAGATTACATAGGTCAACATATTTAGGTCATAATGTAACAATTAGAAACACTTAATTTTCTAATCTTATACCTTAAAATGAGCTCATATGAATTGTGTGGTAAAATTCAATGATAAATCAAGTTAGACATTAGTTAGTATAACTTTTTAAAGCATATTGCGAGTCTTATTAACTTGATTCCTAATCAAAATTCATGTTCACTTGATATAAGAATCTAAAGATTACATTCTCAGGGTTTTAGGTAGGGATTAAGGAAATTCCTTAAGGAAACATGGAAATTTCCTTTTGAATTTCAGCAAAAATAGTTATTTTTATACTCACATGTTGGCTATTTTCTTTCGCATTTTGCGAAAAGAAAAATCTTAGCTTGATCCCTAGCAATTCTTATTCATGTGATTTACAATTTATGTTTTATAACTCATAGCAAGGTAAGAACTGCTCATGATTGTTATTATTATTAAGAATTATTATTATGCAAAGATTATGAAGAAGAAGTAGATTAATAAATTTGTTTTAAGGCATCAAGAAATTTCCTCCGTCATTTATGAATATAGGCGAAGCAAAACTCCAGATTGTTATTCAATTACATAATAAGGGTTTTACTGTTTCATATGCTAACACCATTTTGTTTCAGCTGACTGTCATTCACCCAAGGGCAGAACCTGGTCATGAGGCAGATCCCAAACCGCCTCTAGAACCCGTAAACCATGCCCAAGTGCATGACCACAAAGTTGAGTTCAAGGAGGCCAAAGTCCGTGCAGCTGGATTCATGGACAATGGCCTCGGAGAAGGAAGCGAAGCGATAGCTAAGACATCCGCAAGTAAGCTATTGATTGTTATATATAAATCGTTTTGTAAAGACAGCTGTTAATGTACATTTTTATACTTTTCAAAAATAAAAGCAAAAATGTATATATATTAAGAGTTGAAATTTGGTATTTAAGCAAGGCGAAAATATAAATGCTGTCACAAAGTTTGACAGATCACAATAGTGGAAGATAAATTTTATACCAAAACAAGTTTAATTGGAGGATGAATAATTGATGACAAGTCTTATTGGAGGTTTAGGTGTTACCATTAATTGTCTTTCAACTCCTCCCTATTTCTTCCTGCAATCAACTTGCCTTGTTCTTTATTTCATTCGTCTACATGTGCTGTGATTTATGAGTTCTTTTTTTCTTGTTTAAATATATTTATTTATGATACCCATTATGTATGTGTACTTTTTGTTTCATTTCTATAGGAATTTTTTTGTAATATTTTGAAAAGGATTCTTAATAATATTTGATATGACTTCATTCTGTATAAACAAAATTTGTTACTTTTTTTTATTTCATTGTATCAACATGAATCTCAATGTATAATTTTTTAAATCGCACAAATACGGGTATCAATATTTAATTTTAAAATTGCATTAATACATAATAGTGGCTTTTAAATTGCGTAAATGCAAAGCATGCTATTTGATATAAAATTGGGAAAATGCGAAACATGATGTGCCATCTTAAGTCCAGTAAATATGAATAGCGATGTGTGATTTTAAATCGCTTTAGTGTAGGTAGAGAAAATAAGAAAACACTCATCCTTTATATTAGCATGCTTGAAAGTCGAATGCAAAGACGTAATCGCTGGAAAAGTGTCCGGCGTGAAACATAGAAAAAATTATTTTATTTATCTCTGCTAGATTGATCTGCTTGTTAGGATGTAGGAATTTCAACGGTTTTTTCTTTTGAATAATATACTAAAAATTTTTCCACAATGGTGACGAATTTTCCATGAATGTGGTTCATGCATATTATACATAACTGCAGTTAACTCTAAGGAGTGGTTTAGGAGTCCATAAGTTGGACTAAAAAATGCATCTGTGTATCCTTTTTCAGTTTTAACTTAGGTAATGTTAAAATAAGGAAAAATGTATGCCTCAAAGTGTATGATTATTTAGACAGCAATCTGAAGCTGTATAGACTTTAAACCACTATGTTTTAAACAAGAATCCTTCACATTAATGGTTCAGTGCTTTAACCACTGAACCATCACAGCACATCTAAACTGTACTAAAATATCTGTTTATTTAAGAAAAGGTTTCGTTAATTTAAGAAAAAGAGTACTATTTTTTTAAAAAAAAATCTTGAAGCTTTTTTAAATGCATTTATTTACCAGGCTAAGAAATCTAATCGTTGATTTGCAAAAAAAAATTTTTTCCACAATTTTATAGTTGTTTAAGAACTTTCAAAATTGAAAAAAGAAAAGCACATTAAAGAGACTGTTGTGTTTGTAGGTCTTGATGTAACCATCATCGCTGTAGTATTTGCGAGATTCTTGGTGTTTATGATAGTTTACGGTTGATCCTAAAACTACCATAAACACCAAGTTAGAAAGAGAAAGAAATCTTATAATTTTAAAATAATGTATAAGAATTTTCAGATGTATGTGTATATAACATTAAATGTCACCCTTTGTTTAAGAAAGAGCACAAATTAAAGAGACATTGTTTTCAGGTCATGCTGTAGCCATCATCATTGTAGTGTGTGTGGGATTCTTGGTGTTTATGATAGTTTTAGGGGTGATCCGAATCCGTGCTGCACATCACAGATCCAGAGAATCCAGAGACGAAGACCAAGAAATGGCTTGGGACGACTCTTCTCTCACTATCATAGTCAATCCTATGGATGTAAGTCTTTTCCTTCCCTTTCCTCATTTCTTTTGATATATATTTTTATTCAAGATTTCTGCCCTAATCAATAGTAAGTTAATTTTTTTTATTTAAAAAAAATAAGTCTCTTCATTAAAATTAGGACCCTAAAAAAAGATTTCCCCAAATTTTCTAAAGGATTAACTAAGTTCTTAATTCAAGGATCAGTTAGGAATAATAGCGAATCTTTTTTGACCGTTTCATTAAAAAAAAAATTTAGGAAATTCTTTTCGAAGCTATGAATTTTGTAAAAGGTCTTAAGAGATTGAGTATTTATTTACACTCAATCTCTTAAGAACATTGCCTCAAATTCATAATTTTAAATACGAAATTCATAGCCTCAAAGAGAATTTCCTAAATTTTTTTTAATGAAATGGTCAAATAAATTCACTAAATTCATTATGTCTAATTCAATGGGTAAATTTAGAAGAAAAAAAATTAAGTTCAATAAATTATTAAATGGACCTTTTGCAAAATTCTAACTTCAAAAGCAATTCTTTTTCAAAATCTACTTTTGTATAATTAATATTCCATTTTTTTTGTAAATTGTTGACAAAAATGCAAACCCTGGTATAAAATCCTATATTGACCTCTTTCCAATTAAGAAAAAAAAAGTTTAAATGTATATTAAAGATAAAGCAATGTGTCACATATTTGGGAATCAGTCTCAAATAACCAAGTCTGCCTCAGAAAGTTACTGTATTCAATTTTATCTATGGATTTCATAATTCATATTCTATAGTATGTTATGAAACTTAAAGGAACCCTGTCTAATGTGTTATTTTGAAAAAAATGATTATACATAGTACTAATTAAAAAGTGTAATTAAATGTTGAATTTATCGATTTTTGTCTCATTAATTGGTGTATTAATAAACTGACTAGCATCCCATTAAAACTGCAGAAAAAAATTTTTCAAAAACATAATACTTTACCTTTACAATTATTTTAAATTATTATTATTATAATTGAGAACACATTAGACATTATTTATTATCATTATTTATTTATTTATTATTAGTATTTTTTGTTAGAAAAGCTGCCAGGCATTTCTGCTTTCAGAATATAAAATTAAAAATATAAAGGAATGAATTTCTGAATGTCCTTTTTTAGAAACTTTTGCTAAAAGTTGTTTTAGTTTTGGGGAGACACTGGTCAACTTAATTACTTTTTAGCTTTTGAAATAGCTATTAGCTGCAAAATGTATTAATGTAATATGTTCTATTTTTTAGATTGCCTAAAATATATAGTTATTTTAAAAGTACAGTGCACTCCCGATTATCCTGGTTAATCAGCGGGACGGGTCGCACGGACAATCGAAAAACACGGATAATCCGAAAACTCCTTTTTATTAAAGAAAAAAAGAACATCAGTACAAAAAATATAAACATTACTTACATTTGCATGCTGTATAACATCAAACTAGGAATTTAACATTTACTGCTTAAAAAAATGTGAAATGCGTCTTTGCTTCTGCTGTTTGTTCATCTCTTGCCGTATATTGACACATATTTTACGCACCGTAGTAATGTCACCGTAATCAAATCCTCATTCTCCCATATGATCAATCAAATAAAGTTTCCACAGATTGTAGAGCAGCAGAATCAGGAATTGTATTTCCCTCATTTATTACATCTTCTGCATCATCACTATTTGATTTAACAACACAGTTAGTAACAATTTCCTCATCTGTTAAATACTGGAAGTCAAGCTCACATACATCACTTTGAAGCGAATTTTCCTGATCTTTGATTTCTTTTCCTTGTTCAAAAATACTGTTATATCATATTCTTCAATATCTGAAGAAGATAGTTCATCAAGCGATCTTTCTCCACGATAACGTAGACCATGATATTCCATATACTGCATCAATAATGAATATTGATTTCAAAAAGTGTTATAACTTCATTGCAGCGATTATTATCAATAAAAAACATTAGATTCATATTCTGTTAATAAATGGCGAGACTGATTTGACAAGATTTCTATTCATGCATCATAATCTTGAAAATGTTTCTCTTTAAAAAAAATTTTGTGACTTTGAAAGGAGCACGGATAAACCGCAAACCGGATAATCCGCGCACGAATAATCGAGAGTGTACTGTAATTCATATTTTCTTCCTCTAAAGTAGTTCTAAGTAATAAATTTGTTTAATTTTAAATTTATTTTATTTGCTTGAATCCTTATGAAGCATAAAAAATTTTAGTCAAATAGTTAAGGTTGTTTTTTTTTTATTTATTTATTTTTAATTTAAGAGGTAAAAAGATGTTTAGAAAATTTTACTAACAGTTTAATTCATCTTAAATTTTAAAAAAAAAATCCCAACACAGAATTTGAGATGTCTTCAAATTAGCAAACTTTAACCATTTTATTACAATTTTGTTAATCATATTTATGATAAAAACAAATTCATTTTTTTGAATTATTAAAGAGGAAGGAAATAAGCATTACTTGTTTCTCTTAGTTAAAGTGTTTATTTTACCACCCAATAATTCATCAATATTATTCCTTTTTTTCCAGCAAATTGAGCAGGATCAAAGTACACGACCTCTAAACGAAGAAGACGACAGCGAGAGCTCTGATGATGGGAGCAGCTACCGTGACGACGGGGAGTCCTCTGAGGAAGAAGAAGAAGATGCTGGGGGAGCCCAGAAGACCAAAACCAAAGAGTTGGAGTGGGATGACTCAACTCTCAACTTCTGAGCAAGCATTTCCACGTATCCACATACATGCATTCCAGAGATAGCTGTTTGGCTTTGCACCTAAAACAACTGGAAGAGTGGACATCAATCTGGAAGATTCAGCGAATCCCCCAGCTACTTTAGAGATTGTATGCGGATACCAATTTCTAGAACTTTCACAATAAGCTGCTGTTGACAGTCTATTGTAAAATTGTTTTTTTGTCTATTTTTTTTTCCTCTTGTAAATTACCTAGTGCAGTTTTATTATTTTTCTTTTACAGTGTTAATTTCTCATTGAACGAAGGGATCATCTTTATTAGGCCATCGATTTATATATATATATATACTTATGTATGTGTCATACTAGTGCCATAAAATGTGGTAAATTTGAGTTCCTGTGTAATCCTTCTTAAAGTATACATATATATTATATATGCGCGCAAAGTATCTTAGTAATTTGGAGGTACTTAAAATTTCCCATAAGTTCTTCACGGGTTCAATTTAAACAGACATTGTTTAATCATTTCCTATTTCTATGCTTGGAAGTAAACGCTAACTTGATGTGGTGAAAAACATTTTGCAAACGCTTAGCCTTTACAGTGTGGTTTGACATGCCTCTCGATTCCCACAATTTGCACAAATTGTCGCACACCATAACTACCTGATCGAACACTTCACTTATTATTGTGGATTTCCCCCTTTTTTTTAAATACACCGTAGCTCTTAGAGAGTAAACCAATTGTGAAACGGTAGTTATTTGCACAAGTGATCCTAGATCCTAAATTTTTTAGGATTAAGTTCAGGGTTTGCATTTACTTTCGCTTATGCTGTTGAAACTTAAAAACAAATTTCGTGATTTAAAAAGTAAATATTTCTTGGAAAAAACTCTGGCTTGAGCATTTATTCTGTTGAGCCATTATTACTTTCTGTAAAGACAAACCCTGACCTGCAAATCCAGGCGGTAAAGGTCAAACGTTTCGTAAGCTCTTACAACATCACTAGCTTGAGTTTCTTACAGCACTACTTGTGTTTTGTAAGCTTTTTACACCACTAGCTGGAGTTCTTACAGTGGTACTAGCTACACTAGCTGGAATTTTGTAAGCTCTTACAACACTAGTTGGAGCTTTGTAAGCTCTTACAACAGCACCAGTTGGAGTTTTGTAAGTCTACAATGCTAGCTAGGGAAGAAAAAAAGTGAATTAATCCTCTAACCTTCGCACATCATCGTAGGTCATAATAAAAATCGGAAACACATATCGAAATTTTTGAACATTTTTTCTTTGTCTGTATTTAAAATAACATATGTGTGTTGTATCTTTAAAAACGCATGCTTGTTGTAGTTAATCCTAAAACTAATTGTCTTAGGGCTTAGAGAGAGAACTTACTTGTGATGTCAATTTATCTGGCTGGGTGTATAAGTGTACTTATTTTAGCAGTCAGGCATTTGTACAGTTTTCAGCCAAATTTGGCGCATCTTATTTCTGTGAATACTTCAATTGTACTACTGTTGATTGGAGTTGTAAAAAAAATATAACGATGAAAAGAAAAAAAAACTTTACGTTAGGCATTCTGTAATTGTTGGCTAATAACCATGTTTTTTTTTCTTCTTCTTCAGAGTAATTAGAACTTACTATTTAGTTTTGATTTTTTTACTGTGCCATAGTGTTTATTTTTAGAGATTTGCCATCAGTTTTTGCAAAATGTAGCCAAACATTACAGACTGCCTTAAATGATTGTTAATAAAATTATCATACCCAACCCTTGTGTCTGAATTGTTAGTTTACTAAGGTTCTGAACAGGATATTCTTTCTAGTTTGTGGTTTTGAGACCCAAGTGCCAATTACCATACATTCTTAACCCTTTAACGGTCGATTAATTTTCAACAAAACGGTCATAAAAGTGCCTATTTTTATTTGTTAGTGCTGCCATCTGGTGTGTAAAATTAGAAATAAAATTTTTTCCTGGCAAAAGAAATTAATTAGTTTTATTCTTATTGCCACGTTACTACGGAACACTCCAGCCCGGAATTATCACGGGAGCGAGAAATAGAGGGCGAAACCTCACCCCGTCATTTTCACGGAAGCGAGAAGGAAGGTCTTAATTAACACCTATCCTCCTACATTCTAAAATCCACCCAAACTCCATTAATCACCATGAGCAAAAGATCCCTTAAAATTTTCATGTACTAATGTATTTTCATTTACTACCTACTAATGTATGGGGTTCTCATGCAAATTTAGACTACAGTTCGGGAATATTGCGATTAAGATGGCATGGCAAATGGTGTGAGTGTCTCAAAACAACAAACTGATAAGAGATGCCTGTTTTTGGCCTAATGATTTTGTGTGTATATCTGTTTTTGTTATATTTCATTACATTCCATATGTTTCTCTTTGTAGAGTATAATGATATACTTGAAGTAAGAATAAAGTATATTGATACAGGTGGTGGGAATTTCGGAAATAAAGTTAATTAAAAGCAACTAATTAATCAAGCAGTGTATTTGTTATTATGTATAAACAATAGAATGTTTATAAAGTATTATTTTAAATTTTGATATACTAAGTGTAATGAATTTATAATTATTGGTTTTGTTTTAGCTTCTAATCACTGATCAAAAATTTTTATTTCAATTATGAATTTTCTAATTTTGTATTGAAACATCAGCTTTTTATCTATTTATTTTGTGGTTGTTTATTTTTATACTATAGAAATTCTTTCATTTCATTCACTTGTATGCCAACCATTGACTATATTTTATTGCAGCTATAGATTATGATATTTGACTAAGGAAAAGTTTCCTCTTTTTTTAAAAAAATAATTATAAAAAATATCTGTAAATTTGATTTAAAAAAAAAATATGGAAATATTTATCATCTTATAACTTGTGGAAAAAAAAATCCAATTTAATTTTTGTTTAATTTTGGCACTTTTTTGCTCAGATTAGATTTGTTTTACAAGTAAAAAATACTATAACTAGGCCAATCTTACATTTATTGCTCTTAAAAAATTAAAAAATATCTTTTGCCATTTAATTTTTTTTTTAATTTAGAAAAGTTACTGTTAGAATGTTAATGCTATTAATTTAAAACATTTGAAATTTTCATTATTGTGTTCATATCTATAAATTTAAATATCTGTGTTTAATTGTTAAAGTTATTTAAAGGGTCAATTAATATAACAGGGGTAAAACTTCAAACGAATATGTTGAGCATTTCAGTGACGATGTGGAAAATTAGCATATTGACTACAGTTGGCATTTCTTAACGATTTCAGTGCTTAATTTGAAGTTTGTATGTCGGTTACATTTAGTCGTTAACATATTTTTTTGAAGTTGGAAAATTTCTTCTATTTGCAAATAACATTTTTACTAACTCCCAGTTTTGCTTTTACGTTTAATAAGTACATATATTTCATATATATATAAAAAAAAAGACTAGTAGATTTAAAAGAAATTATGAGCAATTTTTAACATAAATCAAGATTACTTGTTTATTCTTGTAAAAAGAGAAGAAAAATTGCTGTTGATTAAGAATACAGAAGAACCTATAAGCAGACATTTTGTAGGTTTTTCAGGGATTGCTTTTTAGGATTGTAAGGAGTTTTACCTCAACGTGAAAGAAACAGACTGTGTTCTGTATGTTATGTTGCTGTAAATGCAATAAAATCTGTTTTATCCCCCATTTAGTATTTTGTTCTTTATTTAAAAAACAAAAGACTTACTTGCTGTCTGTGTTATCAATTTTTATTTTTTTAACTGTAGAGCTGTCTATGTAAAACAGCGGTTCTCAAATGGTGTTCCGCTTAACCCTAGGGTTTCGTGGGAGAGTTAAAGGGGTTTCACGAGTTTGCACTTTTTATAGCCAGTGATGAGTTTTGATTATATTTAATCCAACCTATAAATCATAACTTATTTAATCTTGTGGTTGCTTTTATGAAAGTATTTCTATTAAATGCAACTGAAATCAAAATGGAATTTTTTAAAGGAAAATGTAAAATTTTTTATAACAATATATTGAACAAATTATGAAAAAAAACAAGCATTTATGTAATATTCCATTAATATTTCCTGTCGCGCTTTTCAAATCAAAATAATTAACTTCTTTAATAAAGCAATAGGTTTTCCTTAATAACCATTTTAGAAATTTATAGCAGTTCTTTTGAGTTTTCATTTTAAGGTAAGCCATAATTCAGCTTATTTTAATTATTTTCAACTTATGTATGTGCACCAGAAATAAATTTATAACTAAACTAGATATATCACAAGTAGTGCAAATTTAACTGTTGGACATAAAACCTAATTTAAGATTATTAATGTTAAAAAATCTTCATTCCTGTAATTACATACAGTTTTTTTTATAAATAATAACGGTCACAATTGTGTCGCTCAGAAGTCAATGCGGTTAAGTCCAAAACACAAAAATTGAGAAAATTAATGTTTTTTGATACATTAGTTTTTAAAATTCTTGGTTTATTAATTTAATTAGAAAAGTGTATAAAGTCTTTTTTCGAGGTGTAAACTCTGCAAAAAAACAAGATATGTACAGGATGTGTAAATAAAAACGTAAGTATTTATTGAAATAATGACAGCATCTTAAAAATTTTAGGACTTATACCTTTTGGCAGCTGAAAAAGATAAGAAATTTATGTAAAAATAATAAAATAACATTTATTGTCATAAGTTTTATGTTTATTCATCATATCAAACATCATCTTCTTCCGAGTTATTTTTAAATGTAAATCTTGATCTCCACGTGTTGTCCTTAATGTCCTGTAAAAGTCGTGTTTAATTGGAGGTATATACTTTAATAAACACATGATGTCTTTTTTTGTTTCTCTTGAAATTGTTCTGCTATTAGAATATAATATAGATTGAGTTATATTTTTTAAATTTACTGGCCTACCTTTATGTAAAAACATATTGATAAAAGGTGGACTTATTCACAATGGCTTCTGAAATTATTATACAATATATTCAGAAGCTATTAAAAAAAAAGGACTGTCAAGCCTAGAAAAAAGTAA